TGAAGCATTTTTACCTAATATATTCAAAAGAATAAGTGTAAGTTTTGAAAAGAGTCTTAAAGGGGTCATATGATGCGATTTCAAGTTTTCCTTTCTCTTTGGAGTGTTACAAGCTGTTTGTGAATAGATAAGATCCCTAAAGTTGCAAAGACTAAAGTCTCAAACCCAGGTATTCGGCCAATCACAACGCATTGGATAGCTGGCCAATCACAGCTCACCTCGCTTTTTCAGACCGATGAGCTTTGTAAAAATAGACGCGTTTCAGAAAGGCGGGGCATAGAGGAGAAACAATAATGTACAGTATGTGGAAAATAATGTGTTTTTTGAACCTTAAACTGCATAAACACATTTCATTACACCAAATACACAAAATAATGTTCTTTTTAGCAACATCATATGACACCTTTAAAAGCAATATAATTTCTAAGTAAAAACTGAAACATCACTTTTCAGAAAATTAGACACTGGAGTTATGGTTCATATGCAGGGTGTGTCTATGAGCGCCAGTGAGGATTGTGGTGGGTGTGAACAGGGCGAAGGTTTTAGAGGTGCAGTGGTTAGTCCAGCTGATGGACAGGATTATCTGTTGTGGGCTCTATTTTAAGCACCAGTGACAGGGAGGTTGACATACGAAAGCAGAAATATGAGCCGCTGTGCACTGAAGCGAACAAATGAGGTTTATGCCTGTGGTGTCAATGGAAGTATTCTGGACTATAGGTTCAACAATGAGTGTTTAGATCTCATGGAATTTAATCTTGCATAGCCAGACTTTTCACTACTGGCATAAGGTTGTTGGCACGCAGCATATTATTCTGGCCAAGAACCATCTACTTAAACAGAAAGAGACTCTTTCAGAAGAGAAAGAGATGCAAAGCGACCAACCACAATTTGTTTTATTTTAACAATTTAGGGTGGAGCTAATCTGACATTGATGACACAAAAATCACAGTCTCCAATTGGTTGTACACAGACTTCAAAATTGTTTATTTGCTTGTGCTATATATACTGTGTGTGTATGTATATATGCGTGTATGTGTGTGTGTGTGTGTGTGTGCGTGCGCGTTTTTGTGACAAATGAGGACATAAATTTGTATAATGACAAGGGTATGACATAGGTATTACAAGGAGAAGGTGACTTTTCAGGACATTACCCCATGTCCCCACTTTTCAAAACGCATATAAATCACACAGAATGGAGTGTATTGAAAATCTGAAATAGCACAAAGTTTCCTGTGAGGGGTAGGTTTAGGGGAAGGGTTGGGGGAGGGCAATAGAATATACGGTCTGTACAGTAGAAAAACCATTACGCCTATGGGATGTCCCCACTTTTCACAAAAACAAACCTGTGTGTGTGTGTGTATATATATATATATATATATATATATGGAGAGAAAGAGAGAGAAAGCCACAATACATATATTACATATATAGCCACAAGCCTCATCAGGGTCCAAGCACAAACGGCTTGTGTAGACAATACAAAATACAGTTACTGGCCATGTCTCTTAAGTCCCTAACTAAATGTGCCTTGACTTCAAATTGTGTGTTTTGTTGTACTGTGTGCACATTGTATTCTGATGTGCTGTGTATATTAGTGGAAAACAATTAATTGTAGTGTGAGATCCAGCAGGAGTAAGAATTCCTAATAGAGCAAGAAAACAATTAGCCGCTAATTAAGAGTGAGACACCCACATGCAAAAGGAAAATGTATGCATGGGGGGAAAATCCTGAGACCTGTTCAGAGCTTCACCTATCACTAAAGGAAATTTAAAGGGTTAGTTCACCCCAAAATAAAAATTCTGTCATTAATTACTCCCCCTTATGTCGTTCCAAACCTCTAAGACCTTGTCTTTGGAACACAAATTCAATAGTCTTGTGGGCAGCACGCCGACATAGTGTCATTGCGGTTTGGGCGTCCTGAGTTTGAATCCCGGCTCGTGAACCTTTCCCGATCCCGCCCCCTCTCTCACTCCCACTTCGTTTTCTGCCACTACACTGTCCTATCTAAATAAAGGCAAAAACTCCAAAAACAAATCTTAAGAAAAAAAAATAGTCCGTGCGAAATTAGTGGTTCAACCTTAATTTTATGAAGCTACGACAATACTTTTGTGCGCATTCTGCACAAAGAAAACAAATCCACTTTATTCAACAATTTCTTTTTTTCCCGGTCAGTCTTCCTGCATTGAATAAAGTCATTATTTTTGTTTTCTTTGCACACAAAAAGTATTCTCGTAGCTCCATAAAATTAAAGGGGTTATGGACTGCCTATGTTTTTTTATTTTGTACTGTTCTCTAAGGTCCACTTATAATGTTATCAAGATTTTTACATCAAAAAACACCATAATTTAGAAGTAATAGGCTATTTTCTGTCCTGTTTTTGAACACGCTCATCTGAACGCTCTGTTTTTAATAGGTGTGGCATGATGTAGACTCGGAAGTAAACGCCCACTGCTATTATTGGTTAACACTTGTGTATGTTTGACAGCCTACATCCTTCACAGATGGACGCTGTTGTGCTTTAGGTTAAAACCGCATACTCATATTTACACTGAATCGTTCCCTATCCCCTATATAGTGCACTACGTGCCATTCACCGTACAGAAAATACTAATTCTGTGAACAAGTGACCGATTACAGCAGCAGCTTCAGCATCTATAGTGTAGGGCGCGGGACACTTCAGATTCTAGGGAGCATTTGATTGGACAGAAAGTTTGATGAGAAGCTGAAGTACAGGGTGATGTCATCAAAATCGTTGATCCATATTGGCGGAAGTGAGAGACCGTAAGTTTTGAATGCTTATATCTTATAAACGTGAATTTTGTCACTGTTTTGGAGCACACTAGCTTATAGATAACCTTAAGGCTTTACACCAAATACACAAAATAATGTTCTTTTTAGCAGCATCATATGACCCCTTTAACATTCAAATAGTGTTTACTCCCAGCGTGCCTAGCGTTTATTATTCTTTTGCGGTCTGCCTGATTGGCTCCATTTAAGCAGGATCCTTGGATCCGTTGGTCAAAATCTTTGTCAGCTCATGAATAAAATAGCCTGCTGTTACACTACAGAAGTGTCAATCTATATGTAGGACGCATTACAGTTTTCTATTTATTCATAAAGAACTTTGACAAATATTATATAACAAATTGAAGGACAGGACCTTCCTTGTCTGCTGATACAAACACTACTTAACAATATGAATAATCAAATCCCCAACCACTTTACAACTGTCTTCCCAGAATGCTTATAGATAACCTTAAGGCTTACATATTCATACTAAAAGCCAAAAAACTTCAATTTTGATTTCATGGGGACTTTAATTTTTCATCTACTAACAAAGTGTTCCAATACAAGGGATCTTGTGCGTGAGCTAACACTTAAACTCACTTCATAAACAGATATCAGGATTCCTACCCCTTTTTGTAGACAAAATTCTGATATTAGAATAGAACTACATGTTGTCTAGGTAGCAAAATATCTATGGTAACATCCTAAACTCTAAAATGACCATATAAACTATGATTTAAACAGCTTTACAGTTCAAATATCAACAAGTGTTATAAAATGATAAACATCACATTTCTGCCTAATATGATTATGTATGTTATATATAATTGGTCTGCGTTTTCATTCAATCTGTCTGCTTTTTTTTTGTTCAAATTCATTGCATAATATCAAAACTGAGACCAAGAATGTAACAAAAGTTACTTCATTCTGAATCTCATTGGATACTCATAAACATTTTGAGAAGATAGCGGTGGGAATGCTCAACAACTGTTCAAGCTTTAAATAACCACAATCGTCCACTGCTTTAGCTATGTAATGGGGTCTGATTACAAAAAAGTAAAGGGGGGCTATGGGTAAGATCCACAAAGCAGACTGTTGTGTTGTCAGAGAGGGGACACTGGCTAACATTTAAATGGCTTGCTGAGATACGTTACCATCGCCAGAAGTTTCTGTTCTGGAGAGGAATTTGTCACACCTGTGTTAACTTCTCATGAGGACTGACTTGAATGCCAAATACACAGTCAATTTAAGGTACTTAATTTGGAGGTAGAAAAGCTCAGCAAACATGCCATTCGATAAAATGGAATAATGAGCTATTGAGTCAAGAGCGGAGGTCACAAAAGGTGTGAGAGGTGGAATACAAAAGCACCACTGGCACATGAACAGACAGTTATTTGTTTTCATTTCCTAGTTACTCTTCTCTCATGTAGCTGCTAGAACAGAGCTTTTTTTTTGTGAGTGAGATTAATTAATGCATATTCATATTTATTTTAGAACTACAGTTGCATCTTCTGATTTCTCTCAACATGGGGACAGGAGAGCTGTCAATCAATAAATTGGAAAAAAAAAGTAACTTGCGTTACTTATTTGAAAAAGTAACTCAGATATTCTCTTGTAAATTAAAAAGTAATGCGTTACTTTACTAGTTACTTGAAAAAAATAATCTGATTCCGTAACTCGTGTTACTTGTAATGCGTTACCCCCAACACTGAGAATGACAGATGGGTAAATTCAGCTGCACCGTAACCCTAAGAGGGCCTTGTAACACTTTTTAGCAGGTGAACTTTTGTAAAAGTTAAAAGACATTTGAAGTACTGGGAATGTGTATTTTTACATAGAAAATAAGCTACATAAAAGCTTATTTAAGCTCAAATTTACATATACAAATTGTTCTGTGTTAATGCTTATTTTAATCAAATGATATTTAAATGTGTAAATCTGTGTCTGTGTGTGTGCATATTTATTTATTGCAATTACAGTTGTAGGCCTATGCCCTTTTTTCTTAACTGAAATGCCACTACTAATTTCTCAGTTTAAAAAGGCTAATGTGAATTCCCAATTAATTTATTTAATGATACAGACAGCAGTTTGAACTTTTTTAATTGGCATTATAGTGAGTTTAGGACCCGCCTCTGGGAGGTTCAGGAAATAGCACCTCCTGTGTTTGTAAAGATTTTTGACTGACAGGATCACAAAAAAATGCACAGATTCAGCTGTCATAACCAAGAGAGATGACAGAGGACCCAGGAACTGTGGCTGGTAGGTTACTAAACAGCCTATTCAATGTAATTATGCTTCATTTAAAAGTCGTTTCTACTTAATAATATACTTATAGGACATTAGAATTTGTTTTAATTGTTTTTGTCACAACAATTTTAAATAATCATTTGTTAAAAAGCAAACATTTTTTTTAAATAAATAAATGGAAAACCTGCATTATTACAATTTGATTTTATTATGAAAGTTCACCCAAAAGTGAAAATTGTAATCTTCTGTCAGTTCTGTCATTTACTTACCCTCAAATTGTTCCAACCCTGTTTTAGTTTCTTTCTTCTATTCAGTACAAAAGCAGATATTTTGAAGAATTTCAACCATCTACTGTTTGGTTTCCAACATTCTTCGAAATATCTTATTTTGTTTTCAACATTAGAAAAAAAACTCAGACAGGTTTGGAACAATTTGAGGGTGAGTAAGTGATGACAGAATTTTCATTTTTTTGTGTGAACTATCGTTTTAAACATGGAAGTCATATAGGTGAACATTTTAACGTCTCAAAAGTCGTCAGTTTACAACATGTGAAGAAAACCATGCATAGTCTGACCAGTAGATGTCAGGAGAGCACAAACTAAAATTCAAGTTCCTACTTGGGGTATCATTTTATTTAGTCTACTTTCAAACCTAAAGAAACCAATGTTGTTAAGATTTCATAATACACTATAAACATATTATGCATTATATATTATAAATATTATTATATACTATATAATTGCCAGTGTCCCCTCTCTGACAACACAACAGTCTGCTATGGGTAAGATCCACAAAGCAGACTGTTGTGTTGTCAGAGAGGGGACACTGGCTAACATTTAAATGGCTTGCTGAGATACGTTACCATCGCCAGAAGTTTCTGTTCTGGAGAGGAATTTGTCACACCTGTGTTAACTTCTCATGAGGACTGACTTGAATGCCAAATACACAGTCAATTTAAGGTACTTAATTTGGAGGTAGAAAAGCTCAGCAAACATGCCATTCGATAAAATGGAATAATGAGCTATTGAGTCAAGAGCGGAGGTCACAAAAGGTGTGAGAGGTGGAATACAAAAGCACCACTGGCACATGAACAGACAGTTATTTGTTTTCATTTCCTAGTTACTCTTCTCTCATGTAGCTGCTAGAACAGAGCTTTTATCCAAACAAGTCAAACGCCATGTCAACGTCTTTTGTTACAGACTATTAGATCTGTTATTGCAAATAAAACCAAATTTCAGAATTTTGAAAATGTTAATATATGCAAGTCATCTAATTGTGTATTATTCAGATTTGCTCATTCCACTACAGAATACCCTGATGTTCCAGTTACCTTCACACTAACTTAAAAGAGTTCAACAAGTGATTGGTGTGTGGCTTAATCACACATGGTGATCAAGATAGCTTGAAAAAAAAAATTTGTTATAATGTTATGTAATATGCACACTAGAATGCACCATCATCTGTCTATAGATAGATAGATAGATAGATAGATAGATATAGAAGCAGTTATAACACTCAAATCCACAAAAACATGAACATTTAGTAAGGGCTCTATAACAAGTTACACTCACCCTACAGGAGGTCTGATCGTGGCGTCTCCCAAATTCATCTGTCATAAACTAAATCCGCTTTGTATCAACGCAATTTACTCGTAAGTCCAGGAGGGGACATTGGAATTCGGTTTCACACTTATTCATACAAGTGTCACCTTTAAAGAAAGAACATGAAAATATACTTCAGCAGAACAAGGTAACGTTAAAGAAGAACTTCTCTACAGAAAACACAGCTGACCAGCACCAAGGTGTCACGGTCATGTATTCAGAACGACTTCACCATTTACCGCGCTCCTAGATGTTGGCAAGTGTTTGATGTACGCACTTCTGTTCTTAAATATGGAAAAACAAATAAAAGCATTCAAACGTTTCACTTGTCACAAAAGAGACTACGAACATATGCAGTATAGTCAACGCAACTATTACCTTAAAAAAGGTTCCGAGTCAAAGTAAAGCTAATATCGTCGCGGGAATACCACCAAAATATAAAGCACTGAAATACTTACGTGGATTCGGCTTCATAGACAGACAACAGCAGCGGCACAGCAGGAGCTCACAACTCGATTCTAATCTGTCCAACAGGCAGCGCCGTTCCCGCGGCTTCTCGAGCGCGCGCTCAACGGCAGCCTGAGTCAGGAATTCTGTGCGCGAGAACGCGCCCGAGAGAACGAGCCGCTGGAAGCGCGTGAGCTTTACAGTAAACAACACTGATACAGCGAGACTCTCAATAAATAACTTTCACCACCTAAAGGCGTTTATCTAAAGAACAGTTAACATTAGCTTAACTGTCAAGACGTAAATTGTACGTAATTATCAGGAGAAGTCTTATAATATCAATATGGAACTGCTATGATAACACAAGCTTTTACCATGGTAACCGTGAAGCTGCAACAAAAAAGCCTAAACATATTATGCATTATATATTATAAATATTATTATATACTATATAACCTAACAGTGTGTTATTTGTCTGCCCTCCAAGCTACAACAACAGACTACAGTGATTACTACGACCAATATGACAAAGACATTGCATCACCATGCAATAATGGCAACACAAAGGCCTTCAGCGAGGTTTTCCTTCCCACCCTGTATAGCATCGTTTTCATTCTTGGCTTCATCGGAAATGGCCTGGTAGTGTGGGTCCTGATCAGATACCGTCAAAAATCCAACATGACAGATGTGTGCCTCTTCAACCTAGCCCTATCTGACCTACTCTTTCTTGCGTCACTCCCTTTTTGGGCTCACAGTGCCATGGACGAGTGGATTTTTGGCAAATTCATGTGTCATACCATAACAGGTCTCTTCATGATGGGTCTGTATGGTAGCATCTTCTTCATGGTCCTTATGACACTGGATCGCTACGTTGTCATCGTCCATGCCCATAGTATCTTTTCCAGAAATCGGTCTGCAAAAATGGGTTTGGTTCTGGCCTCATTTGTATGGGTTCTCACTCTGTTTGCATCCCTCCCTAATATTATTTTTGCCAAAGAGAAAACGGAGGTAAGCACCAAAACATCATGCGGATCTGATTTTCCTGAAGGTACAGCCTGGATGTCATTTACTTACCTTAAGATGAACTTCCTGAGCTTGATTTTCCCTCTGATTATTATGGGCTTTTGCTATTCCCGGATCATCCCTACTCTGCTCAGCATAAAATCACAAAAAAGGCACAAAGTCATTAGACTCATCCTGGCTGTGGTGGCAGTTTATTTCGTCTTCTGGACTCCATACAACATTGTCATGTTTCTTATGTTCCTGCAGAAGCAAAGTTACTTGCTTTCTTGTGAGTGGCATACTAGTTTAAGCCTTGCCATGCAATGGGTGGAAACAATCGCCTTAAGCCACTGTTGCCTTAACCCTATCATCTATGCCTTTGCCGGACAGAAGTTCAGAAGAGCAGTTCTTAAAGTCTTAAAAGAGCAGTTTCCATTGTGCTTCAGCCAGTGCACCACTTTGTCTCGACAGTTATCTGAACGCAGAAGTTCAGTCTTCAGCAAATCTACTGAATATTCCTCCACGCAGATTGCATAGAGCAAACTTATTCCCTCAGAGTTATTTTTTCTTCAGAGTAGTTTTTCTTTTTCTTTTTTTACTTTAAGTTCCCCTTTTTAATGAATGTATATTGTGTTCTTGAAAGTTGTCTTTGTTCTGTTTTTTTAACAATTTTGTTAACAATAATGATATATGTTAAGTAGGAGAATGCAGAAGTTGAAGCTGTTGCAAATGTGCTCCTCTTTGTGCATGTATATTGCTCATATTTTAGATAGGCGAATGATACAGATAATTTAGAAATGAATGATTTCATCAGGAATTTGAAAAACTCACTTTTAGCTTTGCATCAATTTTAGTCACTAGTTAGTTTTTGCATCAGGGTTAAAAATGTTTTCAACTGACTTTGACATCTTAAAGAAATGCATTTAACCTATATTTTGAATGTTGCTTTTAAGATTTTTAATGTTAAGCGTCATTTAATAAAATATTTGATGGATTAAAGTTCATTGTCCTGGTGGTATACATTTAAACTAATATGCAGGAAACACATTCATTCCTATATGACCTCAAAACTACACTTATTTAAAAAATTTAAAAAAACCTTGAGGTAAAATTCCTTGAAATGCTAGGGAATTATGACATGTTATAGCAGGTGGGTTTTTGTGAAGCAGTGGTGGGAGGGAGGTATAACTGTTTAAATGGTAGGCTGTCACAAAGAGGAAGAAGACTGACGCATAGCTGTAAACCACATCTGCGTAAGTACTTATCTATCTATGAAACACGTGGAGTCTCAAGCATGTTAAGTTCATGGCCATTTCTTTAATACTATTCTGAGAGACTTTGCTTTATAAAGTCACTTTTTGTGTTTTTGCCTCAACAATCTTCCATTTTCATATGTTTCATCAAAAGAAAGTGTTTGAGGTTAAACATTCATTTTAGACAATGGAAATTGGGTTGCACTGTCATTCTTTGTCATGTTGACAAGGGAAAAATATTGTGGGCAGCCACTTTGAGGGGACTCGATTATTGTGGCAAGGTGCATTACAGTCTTTGTTTTCAATCCTGAGAGTTGTTTCTTGATTGTACTGAATCAGATGAGAGGTTTCTTCTCCTGCTGGATGAGTGCAGATCAGTTTGTAAGATCAACAGCAAGATGATGTTCCAACACCCTCTATCTATCACAACATGTGCTTTACCTCCAAGAAAATATCAGTGAAGTACAAGAAGACTACTCAAAATGTAATTAAAAGAGAGACTTAATGTGGTACTCAAATGACAACATCATATGCACACGTACACATAAGTAATAAAAATAGCACTTCTGCACTTTTAAGTCTTACCTTATTTTAACTCATTAGCAGATGTGGCCATTTTTTATTTGACTGTGCAAGGCCTCCGGCGTCAGTCGTTTTCTGTAATTTTAGCTGTACAATAACAATCTGTTATGCTGCTTGATAATAATTGGTATATATTGATATTTATTTATTTATTGTAATTGTGAGGAAGTAAATATTTGCGTAAATAGTTTTATTGTTACTGCATTATTCTTTTACCAATAGCAACTAATGAATCGGAAGACTTGCAAATTCACAAGAAATCACAAGTTCAACTTTTGTCGCATCAGTCCACAGAATATTTGCCCAAAAGTCTTGGGGATAATCAATATATTTTTTGGCAAACGTGAGACGAGCCTTTGTGTTCTTTTTGGTCAGCAGTGGCTTTTGCCTTGGAACTCTCCCATGGATGCTGTTTTTGCCCAGTCTCTTTCTTATTGTTGAATCATGAACACTGACCTTAATTGAGGCAAGTGAGGCCTGCAGTTCTTTAGATGTTGTTCTGGGTTATTTTATGACCTCCTGGATGAGTTGTCGTTGCGCTTTTGGAGTAATTTTGGTAGTCTGACCACTCCTGTGAAGGTTCACCACTGTTCCAAGTTTACTCCATTTGTGGATAATGACTCTGACCGTGGTTCGATGGAGTCCCAAAGCCTTAGAAATGGCTTTATAGCCCTTTCCAGACTGATACATGTCAACTATTTAGTTTCTCATCTGTTCTTGAATTTCTTTAGATCACGGCACGATGTGTTGCTCTTTAAGCATGCTTCACTTTGTCAGACAGGTTCTATTTAAGTGATTTCTTGATTCAACAGGTGTGGCAGTAATCAGGCCTAGGTGTGGCTAATAAAAATTAACTCCGATTTCTAACATAATGTGGTTAATCACAGTTCCCTTTCGAACGGTCTCTCCCGTTGCGTTAGACGCTAAGGGGAAAACAGGAGTTTTCCCCTTAGCGTCTCACGCAACGCTCGTTCCCTTATCTCAGGGAACCGAGGTTACGTTAGTAACCGGAGCGTTATTTCATGATTTAACAGGAGGAGGCAATTAATTTTTCACATAGGGCCAGCCCAGCTAACAGGGAACGCTCCCAGAACATTCACTAACGTTCTTTAAAAGTTGTGTAAATGTTAGTACAAAACGTTATTAAAATAATGTTTTTAGAACGTTCTTATAACGTTGTTAATGTTCTTGTAACGTTGATAGAAAACGTTCTTAGAACAACGTTCTTGGAACGTCTTTAGGACGTTATTTGTACTTGATGAATGTTCTTATAATGTTGATAGAAAACGTTCTTAGAACAACGTTCTTGGAACGTCTTTAGGACGTTATTTGTACTTGATGAATGTTCTTATAATGTTGATAGAAAACGTTCATAGAGCAACGTTCTTGGAACGTCTTTAGGGTGTTATTTGTACTTGATGAATGTTCTTATAATGTTGATAGAAAACGTTCATAGAGCAACGTTCTTGGAACGTCTTTAGGGTGTTATTTGTACTTGATGAATGTTCTTATAATGTTGATAGAAAACGTTCTTAGAACAACGTTCTTGGAACGTCTTTAGGACGTTATTTGTACTTGATGAATGTCGTTATAATGTTGATAGAAAACGTTCTTAGAACAACGTTCTTGGAACGTCTTTAGGACGTTATTTGTACTTGATGAATGTTCTTATAATGTTGATAGAAAACGTTCTTAGAACAACGTTCTTGGAACGTCTTTAGGACGTTATTTGTACTTGATGAATGTTCTTATAATGTTGATAGAAAACGTTCATAGAGCAACGTTCTTGGAACGTCTTTAGGGTGTTATTTGTACTTGATGAATGTTCTTATAATGTTGATAGAAAACGTTCATAGAGCAACGTTCTTGGAACGTCTTTAGGGTGTTATTTGTACTTGATGAATGTTCTTATAATGTTGATAGAAAACGTTCATAGAGCAACGTTCTTGGAACGTCTTTAGGGTGTTATTTGTACTTGATGAATGTTCTTATAATGTTGATAGAAAACGTTCATAGAGCAACGTTCTTGGAACGTCTTTAGGGTGTTATTTGTACTTGATGAATGTTCTTATAATGTTGATAGAAAACGTTCTTAGAACAACGTTCTTGGAACGTCTTTAGGACGTTATTTGTACTTGATGAATGTTCTTATAATGTTGATAGAAAACGTTCTTAGCACAACGTTCTTGGAACGTCTTTAGGACGTTATTTGTACTTGATGAATGTTCTTATAATGTTGATAGAAAACGTTCTTAGAACAACGTTCTTGGAACGTCTTTAGGACGTTATTTGTACTTGATGAATGTTCTTATAATGTTGATAGAAAACGTTCTTAGAACAAAGTTCTTGGAACTTCTTTAGAATGTTATTTGTACTTGATGAATGTTCTTATAATGTTGATAGAAAACGTTCTTAGAACAAAGTTCTTGGAACTTCTTTAGAATGTTATTTGTACTTGATGAATGTTCTTATAATGTTGATAGAAAACGTTCTTAGAACAACGTTCTTGGAACGTCTTTAAGACGTTATTTGTACTTGATGAACGTTCTCATAATGTTGAGAGAAAACTGTTTTAGAACAACATTCTTAGAACGTTCTTGTAATGTTATTAATATAATTTCTAAATTAATAATTAATTGCTAAATGTTATTATGGTGTTATCCTAAAACATTCTGATAACAGTATTCATGTCCTTATAATTGCAGGCCACTTTATGAACGTTATCATAATGTTGGGAGAAACATCTTTAGGAAAAAAAAAATTCTTATAGGCTATAAAGCATATCAATAGAACAGAATATGATATATGATAGAAAAATAAAATGCATTTAAATATGAAACTACAACCTCGAGTAGGTGGTGGCAAATCACCTGAATGAGTCACTGAATCTTTTATAATTATATAATTTATCATTATTAATTATAGCCTATATATCTTTTATAATTTATTGAAGTCACTTGGCCTAAGTGAATGTCATACACTGTAAAACAGTAACATTTGCTAAATGAAATGAGTTCATTTAACTCAAAAATTTAAAAAAGTTATTTCAACTCAATATACATTTGTGATTTGAACTCAAAAGCTAATTAGGTTAAGCAGAACTCAATCTAAATAAGTTACTATAAATTAATTTAATCTACCATACAGTCTATGATTTTTACGTCTAAATGGCTGACCACAAAATATTTAAAAGAAAAATTTGCTTAAATCATGATTTCTAACATTGTTTTTCGAGAAGTCACGTTTGTATAACATAGGGCTATACACTGTAAACCCCAATGTTGTCATTAATAAAGAGTTTGGTGTTTTGTGAAGTCAAAAATTAAACAGGTATGTTTAATTAACTCATTTGGGAGCAAAAATCTTTTGAATTAAGATTTTAAGTGAAATGAACTCAAAATTTCAATTTATTTAAATTATGCTCTATGTCTCTGTTTAATATGATTGGTCATGTTTGAAATTCTGCCTTGACAAACGCGCTGATTGGTCGATATAACACAAGGCGGTAAGTTTTGGTCGTTGTGAATTTGCTGAAGCAGCGGTCCAGACTGATGAAAATCAAACGTTAAATTGGTAAGTAGAGAATAAAACGCATATATACACTTTTCTTAATTACCTTACAAGTTTTATTGTAATGTTATTTGAAAGGTATAATTGCAAATTTCCCGTTTGTCTCCCGCAGCGGCACTAGCAGACAGGCGGTCGTCGTGA